AGTTGTCGGCTGGGCTTAAACCATGACATCAGGGCAGGTCTGTATAAACCTGGTAGAAATGCAGGACTGGACTGTGGATGTGATCAACATGTTATATACAAGTAGAGGACAATGGTATTTACATGAATAATTAGGAGAGATGGAGCAAGATGACTGAACTCACAGGAAGACTGAAGTTAAATGGTGAGAAAAGCTACTCTCTCATTCCTTGGGTTTCTTTCCACTGGTGTTTGTTTCATGTCCGTGATGTATTTCTCTCATATCCCCCACCACCAGTATTTACTCACATGTATCTATTTAGCCTATCTTAATATTAGCTTCTGCATTTGACCCAGCTATAGTATGACATTTTCTATAATAATCAGAAACTTTTCTCTACATTAAATAGATAAATATAATTCTTCTCCTAAATTAAATTCAAAGTAGGAATAGGAAGCCATGCAATTACAACAATAAAAGGGCTACAGGTACATTTCTTACACAAGCTCATCCAGTAGTAATGTCAACTTAAAATCCTAGCACTGTTATTTCCACTGTGCTCAGTGGTGGTAGGCTAGCCACACTCGCCTTCTGTACTGCAATTCTACCTTGCACTTGGATGAACTTCCGTTAAAGTTTGGAAGGCTGATCATATGCAAAGTCTTCCCTAAGCTGAAGCAGACAAGTTTTTTGGGCAGTAATCATTCTACTTTCTTAGGATTATGGAAATACTGAAGTAAATTATGCTATAGCATACTGAGTTTACAACAGGCATACAGAGTTATCACTAAGAATTAAGAAGAAAGAAGTCCTAGTTACATTTCTACCAACAGTCAAGATTATTCTTTGACTATAGGCTAGAACTTCATGTGCACATGAATCATTCTGCTTTAATGCTACTACGTACTTGATTTTAAAAGTAAAATAGTAGGAAGAAGAATACTTAGAATTAAGAATAAGATACTAAGTTATCTGGATGAGAGGGAGAGGAAAGCAAACTATAAAATAAGATGGTGTACTTATGCTATACTATAAGAATAAAGGCAAAAACGGTTTCATCTTTTTGTAATCCTTACTTAAAAAAAAAAAAAAAAAAAAAAAAGGGGAAGCTGTCACAGCCAAATTGTACCATATTGCCATTACCAATAGATCCAACGACATACCATGTACTGAAGTAGTTATTTCCCTTGTATTAAACAGGATAATCAAATGGCTGCTTGGTGACCTGTGTAAGAGCAAGTATGTGGTAGTCTGCTGGTTCCAGGTGAGTAATGGTTTACTTCCAAACCCGACAGACAGTAACAACCACTTACCTAAAGAATTTCCAAGAGACTAAGCCACAAGAAATAAGAAATAATTTTCCTGAAGCTTCCAGACAACAGCAAGTCAGTAACAAGCTGCCACTGCTAGCAGCTACACCTGACTTGCATGAACAGTTTCAGTCTGTCAGTGAACATGCAGCTTTCTCTTGTACCACTGCATTCAGCAAACAAAGCTTCACAAAAGTACGAAAGAATCAAAGGAAACACACAAATGCTCAGTTACTGCCACAGAATAACCAGAACTATGTTCTTAGCTGTAAGTAGGAAAATATTGAAGTTATATCATCAGCTAGAAGACATGTACTCACATGATTGAGAAATTTGCTGTCTCTGGTAGCCCATCCTATCTGCATCACTCCTGAAGTAATAACTGTAACTTCATAGTACCAAACTCCAGAATCGACACAGAATGTACATCTAACACTTTCAAAGGATGAGGCATCACATCGAGCCTGCCAAAACCAAACCAAAAATTAAGCTTCTACAAAATTAGCATTCAAACAAACCCCTTTCTTCCCTGGATCAGGTTTCTGGCATATAAGAATACACCAGCATAATTTTAGAGGCATTTCGGACAGAAAGTGACTTCTCTTTATAGCACTCATTGTCACACAAACTACTGAGTAGGCAAGACTGATAGTTGTTCAGTGGTAAGCCACAGGGGAAAGAATTAAAAGTAGGACGTTGACAGTCGATTTAAAGACTAAGACAGCCAGGACAGGAAGACCCAGGTCACTGGCTGTTAGCTAACTCCTGTATGAAAGACAAAGAGGTATTGAATGTTAATGAATGAAAATCCATGTGTCAGTAGTCAAACAAGTTCGGGGGTGGGGCGGGGGAGGGGAAGAAAAAAAGCGACGTGGCTGAGACAAAAATCCTGCTGCTATGGGCTTTTCAAGACTAGACAGGACAAACCATAGGAATTACACTTTATGAACAATTTTAGTCAAAATGCATGAAAAGCCAGCTGCCTCTTAAGCATCCTTGGAGAAGGACTTTGTAACAAGGGCCTGTAGGGACAGGATAAGGGGGAATGGCTTTAACCTAGCAAAGGGGAGATTGAGATGAGATCTCAGGAAGAAGTTCTTCCCTGTGAGGGTGGTGAGGCCCTGGCACAGGTTGCCCAGAGAAGCTGTGGCTGCCCCATCCCTGGCAGTGTTCAAGGCCAGGTTGGACACAGGGGCTTGGAGCAACGTGGTCTAGTGGAAGGTGTCCCTGCCCATGGCAGGGGGTTGGAACTGGATGAGCTTTAAGGTTCCTCCTAACCCAAACTAGTCTGGGATTCTAGGATCCTCATCACTCTTCTGAAGTTATGAGGCACAGTTACGGGTGTTACTTTAGTGCGAACATTTCTCCAGCTGAGATCAGTGTAGCGATGTTAGGACCCTCTGACAAAGCAAAGCTTCTAAACAAAGCTAGCAGAGAATTTTGATTCATTCCAGGAAATAACAGGAGCAAGTACAATCAAAAAGAGTTAAAACCTGCCTTTTCTTCAGGCTCCTTTTTAGCTTGGAATCATGAAAATATATCCTACCTCTAATCCATGTGGAGAGATCTTCAGGTATTCACTGACATCATTACTGTTCAGCATAGCCCTAATGTTGGTCAAGTCAACCTTCTCATATGTAAACTGCCTGCCTTCTTTTAAAACTGCAAAAGAAAACTTGTTTTAATCACAGCCGCAGCAGACCTGTATTTTAATCATTTCACACCTGCGCAATCAATCTCTCTAGGATCCAATTAATTTTTAGCATACCTGAATGAGGTATTGACATTTTGCAGCATGAAAACAACACCACTTCCAAAAATCTGCATGCTAAATATCCTCTAAACGTGAGAGTATGACCTAGACCTCTGACTAGAGCTCATACTGTCTAGTTTCTTCTATCAGGAAACCCACAGGCAAACATAAGGCATCTAAGTTCATACCAAGAAGCCACTGCTTCACGATTTATAATTGTATTTGTATATACAGCTGGGAAGAGTTCTTCCGATTCACCACAGATTTTGGTCACGAGGAAGGAAAAGAAGGGGAAAACAAGAAACTTGAACTGAGCCAAAACAGCTCTTTCTCCCTGCATCCCCTTTTCACATGGAAGGATCAGAAGTATTTATCTTGCCAGGTGTTAAGTTGCTGACACATGCATGGTAAGATCTCAGATTTGTAAACTAAGACACTTCAGACATCCCAAGCTTGCCACACACTTACACATATATTTACTAAACACAACTGACATTGGCCTTCCATAAGATGGCTAAAGCCCAACAAGACCTTTTACTCAAATTTACCCAAAAGGCATTAGAAACTACAAGGTCTTTAGAATGGCACCTTCCAAATCACAACTAAACAAGCAAATCTGATGATTATTGATCATCCAAAAGGAAGATCTTGTCAAGTACTTTCTCAAACACTCTTCACTTCTGATCACAAGGCTGTATCTTTACATCAAGAAGTCTTTAATAATTCTTTGAGACTGTGCACTGCTGTGGTGTGATCACACTAGTGACTGTCACCAGAATGTCAGTAATCCAGCTGTTCGAGAGACAGAGCTGCACTCTTTAGCTATTCAGCACATCTGCTGAAGCATGGGTTACAGGAAATACCATGCAAAGAACTTTCATTGCAGCTCCAACTTGCAGAGTACAAACCACTTCCTTTCACAAATATTTTCCTTGCCAAAATTTCCTTTCCATGCAATTACACTGCATTTATTTGCCCACCTCCCCCCCCCCCCCCCTTTTTTTTTTTTGAGCATGGTTACAAATGCAGTCAGGTATATTTGCAGTAAGTGCTTATACAAAACAAACACAAAAGTAGTCCTCCATCTCTCTGGAGAAGTGTTTAATATTAAGTGATTCCATCCCTTTCTTATACCTACACAGATTGTCTAAACTCCACTGGGCACAGAACCCAACCTGGCGTTTTAAATAGTCTGGATTATCTGCCCATTTCTCGAGCAGGATCAGTTGGTTGCTAATACACGATTGAGAAACTGTCATTTTATTTTCACCTGCAATGACAGCAAAAAGAATAAATGCTATAAACTAGTGAAGAGTTCAGTTAAAGATAGTAACATTCTACAAATGCAGCAGAAACCCCCCTTTAAACATCGTATTACAAACAGCATGAAATTCTTTCCCAAGCAGACATGCATTAACTTTGCGCTCAGATATACCACTCCTCAGCACAGAGCTGTACCAAGAGACTATTATAATCACAGCTGTTCTCCATCTCTGATAGATACTTATTTCCTTTCAAATAACAAAGGTCTCATGTCCTAAGTCTTCATGTAGCAATTTTGAAGCTGGAAAGGACTGAGTTTCCACAAACCTCTTAATGGTTTGTGGGCGGGGTGTCATTAAAGCAGTAAGTATTTTATCACGCCTACAGATACCTGATCATAGCTCTTCTCTACCTGTAATAGATTTATTTCAGTGACAAAAGCCTCATGGCATAAGTCCTTCTACAGCAATTTCCAACTGGGAAGGACTGTGCCGAGTTTCAGCAAATATCTCAAAAGTTTGCAGGGGTAGAGGGATGTCAGTAAAGCAATAATTATTTCTTGTCTGTAAGTGGGCAAAGATTTCTCTTCCGTATTTGTGTTTACACCAACCCAGCCTCTCATGCTCCTAAGTGACAATTATGCAGCAGAAGCCGTAGTATGTCTGTTAAAAGCAGTATCAGGCTAATACTTACTTGTTTGTGCAAACTTCTCCAGTGCTATTAGTGCAAAAAGCATCACTGTAGGATGGGACTGGAAGTTCTAAACATGGGCAGGAAGAAAAGTTATTTAATAAATATCCAGCACAGATGGGTAGGAGAAGCTGTTAGTCTGTCAAAGAATGCTTTAGGTTGAAGGGGAGCTCCACAGCTCCTCTAGTTCAGCCTCCTGTGGAGAGCTGGTTTGAGATCAGGCTGCTCAGTGCCTTGTCCTATTGACTTCTAATTATCTCCAAGGATGGAGATCCCAGGGACTCTCTGGAATCTCAACTTTCTGTAACATACATAACCCATATTTACTACATATGACCCTAACTTTTCACAATAACAACAAAAAAATGCATTATAATTGCTTTGTACAGATACATACAAAAAGATGGAAGACACTTACCAGGCTCTGAAGTAAATATTCCAATATGCCTGGGCTGAGTAAGCCTATGCTTGCAGGACCTACAAGAACATTAAAAGTTAAACACATCCATGGAACTACCATATACTCTTCATGGCACGGATCTTTTAAATGTAAGACAAAAATTAAAGAACAAGAACTTTTCACTAAAGTAGAATTATAATGTAGAATTCATCAACAGTTTGTGTTAGAAGGGACCTTAAAGCTCATCCAGTTCCAACACCCAAGGTGTCCAAGGCAGGGGCACCTTCTACTAGACCAGGTTGCTCCAAGCCCCGTCCAACCTGGCCTTCAACACTGCTGGGGATGGGGCAGCCACAGCTTCTCTGGGCAACCTGTGCCAGGGCCTCACCACACTCACAGGAAAGAACTTCTTTCCTGGGATCTCATCTCAATCTCCCCTTTGTCAGGTTAAAGCCATTGCCCTCATCCTGTCCCTAGAGGTCCAAAGCCCCTCTCCAGGTTTGTTGTAGCCCCTTTAGACACTGAAAGTTGCTCTAAGGTCTGTCTCCCTGGAGCCTTCTCTTCTCCAGGCTGAACAAGCCCAGCTATCTCAGCCTGCCTCCAGAGCAGAGGTGCTTCAGCTGTCAAAGCATTCTTGTGGCCTCCCCTAGACTTGCTTGAGCAGGTCCAAGTCCCAGTGTACAACAATCATCATCATTTCCAGTCAACTATGCGGTATACATTTAAAGTAAGACTCCACCAGTCTCTGCTTAGTATTTTCATGCTCATTACTTTTCAAAAGAAACTGGCTCCCTTTTCTTCCAGAATTAATGTATAAAGACCAGTTCTATTGATCAGTAGCCCAAAATAAGTAAAACTGAGCATCTGATGTAGCCTGATAGTTAATTTGCAGCAGCACCATAGCAGGCAACCAATTAGGGGAAAAAAAAAAAAAAAAAATCCCTGAAATACTGTCTGTTTTATCAAGAGAGGTACAATGGAATCCAACTCTGACATCTATGAACTCAAATAAACTGCAGTGGGTTCCAACACAGCATTAAAAATACTGTTTTATCAAGAGAGGTACAATAGAATCCAACTCTGACATCTATGAACTCAATAAACTGCAGTGGGTTCCAACACAGCATTAAAAATACTGTTTTATCAAGAGAGGTACAATAGAATCCAACTCTGACATCTATGAACTCAATAAACTGCAGTGGGTTCCAACACAGCATTAAACATATTTGCTGCCTGAGCTGATACAGAAAGATCTGTTCACTAAGACAAAAATAGAGGCAGTATCTCATTTTGACCTAGTATAAGAGAGTAGAAGAATTATTGTATGAAAAAGCTTCCTGCCCTTTTTCTTTAATTTTTTTTTTACAGAAATACTGAATTTTTCTAATAAGCAGGTGATGCCAGACAACCACTTTTGCTCCTTTTCCTGTCCACTTTCAGAAAATGAGCAAAATACTTGATAAAAACCAAACCATCATTGGGAAGGAAACTTAATCATTAGTTTCCAGCATGGTATTAGAAATAGCAGGGAATACAATTTTTTTCTATATGAGAAGACACCTTAAAATAGAATCCCAGCAATTTTCTTTCAAGTAACATAAAAGAGAAAATATTTTCTGTGACCTACAATAGAGCAATACATGTTTGGCAGAAAAAAAAAAAAAAAAAAGTATTTTTTGTTTCTCTACAGCTTCCAAGTCTACTAATTTGATACTCCTGTCTACTGGCAAAAGAACTACACGTCCTCAGTAATTCATGCACAGCCAGAGTAGGTCCACAGAAGAGACTGGTGACCAGTGCTGAGGCAATATACCATAAACAAACACTGACCCACCATCACTAACCATGCATCAGAAGGATTTGAGCTTTTCAAATAACTGGGATTGTGAATGACTCATTCAGACCCAACCTAGGGAGTGCTCAATGTTTTAATCACACAGTAGATTATCACGAGGTCTACCCTTGATGCAAAACATTATTCAGTTCTAAGGCAACATTTCTGAACTAGTTTGCTGCAGGGGTGCTACAGCAGACAGTGCCTCAGTGAGCCAAGTGCAAGTTTCTCAAAGAATCCCTGGGCTTTACCTGCTAACTTCTCTGCTAAGCAGCCCAGCACGGCCGTTGTATTCCGGTGTCTGGCAGGGTGACAAGCATCCTGGCAAGCAGCAGCTCCACTTAAGTTTAATATTTCAGTTAACCTCTGTAATGCATCCTGAAAAAGAAAAATCAGAACTCTTGTCATTACTGACAAATAGGTTTCCCCCTAACTCCTTATAGTACAACCAATTATTTTTATATTATATTACTGAAGTCAGCATCACATCATAGACAGCACTGGGTGGTTATCTTTTAAGATAAGACGGTAATAAAGAACAAATGGGAAGAAAAGTTGAACATAACTTTACAGTTACCACCAGGTTGGTCATCGGTGTGATCAACAATTCAGGACGCTCTGGACACAGGCAAGTGACCTACCCATAGCAGTAAGAACTAGACTAGTAGACAAAGGCAAACTACCAACCAGCACATCTGGCACACCATCTACTCTGTTTCCAGTCCCTGAAAACTCACACCCTTTCCAAGCTAAAATGGCAGGTTTAGACTTTAGAATTCAGGACTGAAGATATAAGCTCCCCCCCCCCCCAAAA